CTGTAGCGTTTGTCTGGTGTAACCCCGACCGCCCCGACATCTGGCAATAAACTGGGAGACCCTGGCAGCCCCGGCACCGTGGGCAGGGAATGGGGGGGCACCGGCTGTGGGCAGCTGGTGGGGGGTGCGAGATGTGGGGGGATACCTGCCTGTGGGGGAGAGGGGTTTAGGGGGGGACAGGGATGCTGGAACACCAGGACACCTGGGTTTCTCTCTTGGGGTGGCTCGGGGCAGGGGGGACAGGCTGATGGAGCAGCAGGGTCTCCATGCTCCTCCTCCACCACAGGATGCAGGTGCCCACAGGCAGCACCACACTCAGGTTTCCCCGCAGGACCGGGGCACCCCACACAGCTGGGGTTGGCCCATTCTGTGATTTCAGCCCAGAGGCTCTGGGGGTCCTGGCTGTCCCCCACCCAGGGCAGGGGGTGGGTTGGGATCCAGCTGGGATCCCCTGAGAGCGGCTCATGTCTCAAATTTGGGGCTCTCCAGTCCTTGTGCCATGCTGGAGGGACAGCCCCGGGCTGGGAAGGGCTGCAGGGATGAGGGGACCCTGGACCCAGGCACACAGCTGGGAGAAGCCAGAGGTGTCCCACCGTGCCCACCACTGGCACCCGTCATCCTCCAGCAGCGCTGTGACCACCCCAAGTGGTCCATGACCATCCTGCCCATGGAGGGACAAGGGGAGGGAAGTGCCACCACCTGCCCCAGCCATCCTCGGGCACGGGGCTGGGACAGCGATGCCGTGTCCTGAACCCAGCAGCACCGGGATGCCAGAGGGGGTGTCTCGGGGCGCCGGCTTGCCCCACCACGATACCCTCTCACCCCGCCGGGGCGGGCCGGCAGTTCCTGCCCCACCGGCAACACACACCGTAATTAGCGCAGGTAGGGCGGAAGCATCAGTGATAATTGGCGGTGACTCGTTAAGGCTGGAGCGCCGCGTGCCCAGGGTGCGGCAGGACTTTCCAGCAGGGCTGGTCTGCGGGGCCGGCTGGCATCCCGGTGCGCTGGCTACCGCCCAACCATGCGGGGCCCGGCCGGCTCCCCACTGCCGGTGCGGGGCCGGGGCTGGGTGCGGGGGCGAGTGCTGTCATCGCCTTCGCTGCGTGCTGCTGCACGCCCCGGCCCCGCCACCCTTCTGACAGAGTCACCGCTGTCGGCCGGCGTCGGGGTGCTGCCGGCACAGACGGTGAAAGCACGGGGACCGGGCGGAGGTGAGCAAAGGAGAAGCAGAAAGCAGGGGGGAGAAGAAGGGTGCCAGAGGGCCCTTCCGCTGGCCAGGCTTTCCCCATAGGCTTCCCGTAGCACCTACGTGACCCCAGGAGAGGGGACTGGACGTGCCCCGTGCCCTCGCAGGGGCGGGCGCCTCTGGCACCATGAACCGGATCACGGTGTACGAGCGTGCCAACTTCGAGGGGCTGAGCCGGGAGTTCACCTGCGACGTGCCCGACCTGCACGAGATGGATTTCGGGAACTGCATCGCCTCTCTGAAGGTGGTGGGGCAGCCCTGGATCGCCTACACGGACCCCAAGTACGAGGGGGAGCCGCACGCCTTCGAGGAGGGCGAGTACCCATCCGTGGGGCGACCCAACAGCTTCTCGGCACTGCGGCTCGTGCACCACGACCTGGGGGACCCCCAGATCACCCTCTATGAGCGCCCCAACTTCCAAGGTGCCTGCAAAGTGGTGACGGAGGAGACCAACCTGGCGTATGGGTACTTCAACGACCGGGTGGCCTCCCATGTGGTGCAGCGGGGAGTCTGGCTGCTCTACCAGCACCCCAGCCGGGGCGGTTGGCACTGCCTGGCATGGCCCGGCGAGCGCCTCGCCGACTACAAACTTGAGCTGAACTTCCAGGCTCGGCTGTCCCACCTGCGCCCGCTGCGGCCCGGGCGGCCCCTGGTCTCGGCACGTCTCCTCTGGGAGCAGAAGCGGGTGGAGGAAGAGCGGGAGGTGCTGGTGGATGAGATTGAGGGGGTGAACGAGACGGAGTCGGAGCAGACGCTGGCGGCCAGCAGCAGCCGGGAGTACGTCACCACACTCTGGCAGAGCTTCCACTTCAGCAACGCCACCAGCCTCAAAGCCGGGCTCTCCTTCACACTGGCCGTGGAAGCCTCCAACATCTTCACGGTGCAGAAAGGGCGCAGCGAATCCAGCACCCGCCGGGAACGCGTGGAGGTGCAGCTGCCGGCCAAGATCCCCCCGCGCACGGCACTCAGCATCCAGGTCTTGCGGAAGGAGGTGACGCTCTCCGTCCCGGTCCTCCTCACCATCACCCAGAACGAAGCTGTTCGGACGGAGACGGGCGAGTACCGCAGCATCTCGGGTACCAACATCAGTGCCCGCTATAGCCTGAAGCCTCTGCCGGCTGCAGGCGGGGAGCAGGCAGCCACTAAGGGGACAGAGACAATACCTGGCACCGGGAAGGAGCTGTAGCTCCATCCTGGTGCTGGGCATTACGTCTGTCCCCTCAGGAGTGTGCGGCCCCCGGGGATGCCCATGCTGCCTCCCCAGTCCGCCCCTGAAGGAGCCAGGATCAAAGGGCTCCAGCTGGAGGTGCCTCCTCCTGCCGGGTATTAACAATAAAGCCCCTTCCCCAACTGCTCGGGTCTGCTGTTGCTGGGGGGGACACCGGGGGGAGCCAGGGTACGTTGTGCTTTGGGGGACGCTGGGCTGAGGGGGGGACACCAGGCTGGAGGAGCTGGGGTCACACGGGACTTGGGCAGCCAAGGGGGGACACCAGGCTGGGGGAGCTGGAGGGACACAGGAGCAGGGGAACAGGGTTTGGCGGGGGAAAAGGAGTGGGGGGAGGCTGGCCTGGTCCCCGAACACACCGGGCTGGGGAAACTGGCAGATACTGGGCTGCGGTGACACCAGGCTGAGGGGGGGGCGGGGAGAACAGGGGAGACACTGGGCTGGGGGGGAACAAGGGACACCAGGCTG